CTAAAGTATTTATTCTACTCTTACATCATCAATTTTTACCTTTGTATTTTACTTCTTTAAAATTAGGGAAAATGCATAAGTACACAAGCAGCCTATGCCCAAAATTCCTGAGACACACCTAACCTTTACTAAGGTCCTATTAACCCCCCCCCCTCCCCGAACTTATTTTATATATAATTTTCTACCCCTTTTTGGCCTACATGGCACTATCTTATGGGCCCAGAGCATGCTGACAATTTTTTCAAGGATAGTGTCACGTATGCCGAAAAGAAGTAGAAAATTATATATAAAATAAGTTCGGGGAGGGGGGGGGGTTAATAGGACCTTAGTAAAAGTTATGTGTGTCTCAGGGATTTTGGGCATAGGCTGCTTATGCATTTCCCCTTAAAATTATCATATTTTCATTTTATAATTGATAACTTATGTAGCAAATTTCCTATGAAAAATATTATTTTCGTGAAAAGAAATAGTGAAAAATGTTAACGGAGTATATAAGGCAATAGTGTGCTATTGCACTTGCATTAAGAAATTAAGTAATTTTACCCTTCTACCCTTATTTAATGTTTTCGTAAGTCAACTTTTCAATAAATGATGAATTTGCTAGATTTCAAAAATTAGAATGCATTTGGATGACTATTTAAATTTTTGAGTTTATTTTTAGAGCCAAATTTTTTCACCAATTGATCCAAAAATTTAAAAAAATTTAAAATTTTCCCACCTCAATTTTCCTATATATTTTTTGTAATTAATAAAATTAAAATGCATTTGGATGGCTATTTGAAAAAATTAAGATTCAACTTTCAAGATTATTTTTGAATTTTTCTTCATCTTTTATTTTTAATTTGTCTATTGAGATTTCTTTTTCAAAATCAGATTTTATAGAATAGTGAATGGAGAGAGTAATTAATCAAGTACTCCAATGAATATTAATTAGGAAAACCTACATAAATATACTATGTTAAGAAAATATTTACCATTTATAGCAATAACATTTTTTTTCACTTGATCACTTTTAATACATTTATAATATAGTTTTAATACATATTACAGAGAACAATTTATAAAAAACATATAATACATGTTTTATTGATGGATAATATATTTATCACAGATTTTAATACACTTGTAATACAATGTGTCAATTTCATACCAAACAAGCATAATATATTTTAAAACAATTATAATACATATATATTGCATACATAATTCACTTATAATACATATTGCAGATTTATTATAGTATTTCTATGTATTGCTATAGATTGTAATAAATAAAAAGTATCACTAAAATCAGTAATTATTTATCAAAGAGGTACCCATCCAAGTATTTTTCTTATTAATTATTTATTAGTTTTCCTAGGTTGGTCAAAGTATATATTTTCAAGACTAATTAACTACTCTATCAATGGGCATAATAGAAAGAATATGGTAATTTATGCATTGATTTTATGAAATAACAAGTATTATGGTCCAACTATTGAGAAAGGGATGACATATAAAAAGGAACGGAGCGAGTATGTATATACTTTCCGTTATACTTTAAAGTTATATATACTCTTACTGTCAATCTTTTGGTAAGTGTATACCCTTAAAACTAACGGTTGGACATATGGCTTTATCTCAATAATTTAGCCAATTTTTATTAAATTTATACCTAAAATTAATAACTCACCCATCTTCCATAATTATCCACCATGACCCGAATTAACACTATGACCCAATTATAACTCAAATGTCCTCTAGGGATTTTGCGTTTGGTTCTTTTAAGGAAAGACTGCCGGCAAAGAGAAGAAACCGAAAAAATGAAGGCGGACCTCTCATCGAAAACAATGGACATCTTAGATGGGATAGAAAACAAAAATTTCATACAAAGTAAAATTTTGATGACTCATGTTCATAGTAGCAATCATATTGATGTTAATAATCATAAAAACGTCTAATAATGAATTATTAAAAGAAATATCAGAGATTCACAACTCCTATAATGCTCTGATGTGTATTCTCCTTTTGTCAAAGTCCAAAGCCCAAACCCTTCAAAGAAGAATTTGTGGGATATTTATAGGTGTGGAAAAAGTCCTAAATAGACTAACCAAGTCTATGAAGGATTAGGTAAAATTTGGACTCTTACTAAACTATAATAATGATTGGAAAAACTATCTATTTACACATTATTTACCATATATTTTATTATTCCCTTCCATTTCAAAATATTACAAAAATCCATCCTTTTCCTCCAAAACCCCACTCTTCCGGATACATAGTTTCTCAACTCACAAAGGTCATTTCTCTCTTCCTATTTTCAACTCCTTCAATCTTTTCCTATATTCACTCCCTCAATCTCAACAATTCCTTCCTTCATTACAATTTTGAATTTCAATTTTTTTTCTCTCTCCAGTCAATCGATTTCGAATTCCTCAATATGTATTTTTTCTTCTTCTCAAACTTACAGTTCATCATTTTTTTTTTCATCTTCAAAGTCTTGATACATAAAGATGATGTTCCTTATTTTAGTACTGAAATTATCCAATTAATCTCACATAATATGGATCATATTTGTGATTCTTACGATGATGATTGGGCTGAAACAGTTCCAAACGGTTGCATGATCCATTATCAATGACGAATCATAATGTTGAGAAGTCGAAGAAGGATGTACTTCGTCTTCTAAAGAAATCAAAGAAGGATGTACTTCATCTTCTAAATTGACTATGAACAACCCCCCCCCCTCTTAAAAAAAGGGTAGAAAAGTTGGATCTATATTATCGTCTTACGGTACATTTTTTTCCAATTTTTTGTTGTTCATATTTTTCTGATACATAAAAAGGAGGAGGAAAAGTGGAACATATTGATAAATACCATTCTCTACCCAAGGTTCATATTTCTAATGTATGTAGTTGACTTTGATTCATAAATTTATGTATAATGCCTTCGTTTCAACTTTATGATACATTACAATTTCATCATGTACAATGTTCCATGTTCAAATATTAGTTTTGATACATAATCCTAATTTATTAAAACACAAATTAGTATATATCATGTTCATAATTATGTATTTGATACATAACTATTACAAATTTCGTTATCTTTTA